ATCTAGACCCATCCCATGTGGGTGTGTTAATAAAACACTCTAGAGATTGAGGTGTATGGCTCAGTCTTTTAGAATTTGTGAGTTATAGAGGAGACTGTTCTTTCTTAGATATGTCTTTGAAAAAAACTTTTTTTTCCTCAGCACTTTAACTTGACTTTCCAAAGCCCAGTGTGAGTTGATGGCCTTGTATACCCTTTTCAGAATGGAAATCCCCTGGTTGTATTTTTTTAAGAATTGTAAGGTGACTCGGTATATAGGATAATTTTGGACAGAGAGAAAAGAGTGAATGTTGGGTTTCCTGATCTTATCTCTTAGCTGTATTTAATATGTTTCTGCCAAAGTATTTTTTTCCCCATGAGTAAGCTGTTTTATTTAACGTCCTCAGCTTGGTCCGAATGTGCTGAGTTGCTTATTTTCTCCATGCATTTGCTGCCTGTGACCAGTTTGAGCTGTCTCTTTGTGTTTTGCTTCTCATGTGATCCTAACCCACTCAAAGATGTTATTGGCTGGTGTTGCAGTTCTCAGCTCTTTTCTTGCTGGGTTAAAGATATTTGTGTATAAATGCCAGTAAAATGTCATTTCCAAAATTTTATCTCCTTTTGGTAGAACTGAGGGGAGTCAATAGGAAGTTTAGAGAACCTGAAAAATGTGATAGTGCACATTTCTTGATTTTTCTCCCCTTTCCTTTCTCAGGTACAAGAACATTCCACAGATGTCCTTTGATGATACAGACAGGGAGCCAGATCAGACCTTTAGTCTGAACCGGGATCTTACAGGGGAATTAGAGTATGCTACAAAGTAAGCACTGGGCCCCTCTTCCGCTCCCTGGCTTCTCCTGAGAATAGCAGGCACTCCCTTGTTTGCAGTGAGCATCTGTGCATTAGCGCTTACTAGGCTTGCAATTTGGTTTTGGCCAGTCTCCTGCTGTCTTAGCATCAGAAACAAGTTAAAACAGTGGAGAATCCTGATCCTAGGCTTGGTCACATTTTGGCAGAGTTTCAGTGCAAGCCATAGACTTGTTAACCTGGAATCAACAGACAGATCTGAATGAGCTCCTAGTGGTGTCTTAGGAAAGATGTTTTCAGAATTGCTCTTTGCATAGTGGGCTTACAGCAGCCAAGTTACATGTGACCACATATCTCTTCACTGATTTCTTTTTTGAGCCTGCTTTCAAATTCCTGTGTAGCCGCACATTGGGGGCAATATTATTTTTCGTCCCTATTGCCTTGGACAAGATCTGGCCAATTTCAGTAAATGTTCACTGTAAAATTGCTTGTCCAGAGGAGAAGAATGAGACGTTAAGACCCCAAGATTATTCTCTGACATTTGCCTGGGTTTTACCACAAGATGGAGCTGGAATTGACATTTTTAACATGGTGGCGAGCAGGCTTATTGACCTCTAATTGTTGTCTTCTCTCTCTACTCCTTCATCCTCTAGAATTTCTCGTTTTTCAAATGTCTATCATCTCTCAATTCATATTTCAAAAAACTTTGGAGCTGATACCACAAAGGTCTTTTATATTGGCCTGAGAGGAGAATGGACTGAGGTAAGATGGGGTTGGAAGTGTTTTTGCCCTTCCATGATGTGCACATTTGTAGCTATAGGCTGTGTTAGTAGGAGCTTGAAGGAAAGGAAAAAGAGCAGTTGAGACATTGATTACTTTGAGTCTCTATATTTCATGGTTTCATCACTGTAAACTATGTCATTTGACAGGCTATAGGAATTTTAAGAGGGTTGAAATAATACAGTTGATAGCAATTTGGTTTTTCACCTTAAAATTCTTTCCTTGATTTAACATTGTTAATAACTTTTCTTGTTCCAGGCACCAGAGGTAGGGTGATAAACAAGATAGACAAGTTCTTCTCATGGTGCCTCCATTATAGTGGAAAAATGAATCTTCGAAGTTACAGGGTAAATCATTGATTTGATCTTATCCAGGCTTCTCACGGGCTTCCCAGGTGGCTCAGTGGTAAAGAATCCACTTGCCAAAGTAGGAGCTTCAGGAGATGTGAGTTCAGTCCTTGAGTCGGGAAGATCCCCTGGAGGAGGAAATGGCAACCCACTCCAGTATTCTTGCCTGGGAAATCCCATGGACAGAGGAGCCTGGTGGGATGATACAGTCCATAGGGTCGCAAAGAGTCAGATGCAGCCGAGCACACAGTGCAGGCTTCTCAGGATAAAAAGCATCAGAATGGGGAAGAAATGAGAGGATGATGTCTAGAAATGAACCTGAATAAGGACTACTCCAGTGTGTGGTCTGGGAAGTGGCCAGCTGACCCAGCCTCTTAATTTTCTTGCAGCTTCGCCGACATGAGGTGACCATCTGCAATTATGAAGCATCAGCCAACCCAGCTGACCACAAGGTCCATCAGGTTACCCCACAGACACACTTTATTTCCTAAGGGCTGGCCAAGACTCCCACAGAGGTGTTGTGTTGGTGAAGAAGTATGACATCCTGTTGGGAAGGACAAAGAGAGATGGGGCTCCGAAGAGAGTTGGCTGCCACAGCCTCTGCCAAGCTTTGTCTTTGGGGCTTGCTGCCGAAACCTGGCCTATGGAAGACCCCACACCCCCGGGAAGGGTTGTGTGGGTGCCAAGGGACAATCGTCGTTCTCTAGGGCCCTACAGAAATTGGGTCTTGGGCTGGTCAGTACCTGGCAGCCGTGGATAATGCCTGCCTTCCCAGTTTATGTGGCCATGGGATCCCAAGTGTCTTGTTGCTTTGTGACAGGATTATTGTGTGACTTGTTTTTAAAATGGAAACTATTCCTGGGCTGCAGTAAACTTTCTGAAGCCTCAGCATTGTGTTTGTATTAACCATCAGGAGGGTCTCCAGCTAGAAATACTTGTCCCTGCTTGCTCCTTCTCCCTGTCATCTTTCAACATTCTTGTCAAGTTGCCCAGCTTGGAGTTGTCTGTCATGCACCAGTGTCCCATCTTATAGCTTGAAGAGCAGAAATCTGATGTTGCTTAATAGCTTGAGAGGGTCTTTTTTTCCTATTGCCCAGGTAAGCAGTCTGAGGAGAGCATTGTTGCTGTGTTTGTGGGTATCCTGGTCGGGGTAAGATTGGGACTTTGATATGCTTCTCTTTGGGACATCCTTAATGTTTATCAGCTTTTAACTAGTGTTGTAAGCCCAATGGCAGAATTTGGAGATCTGAGTTCTTCTGTTCATGGCTTTTTATTCACTGTGACTAATCAGCTTCCTAATAAATCCTTGCCAGACTTAATGTTTGTATATTCTTTTGTGTTCTTGGTAGTAATTATGAAACCTTTGTTGAAAACTGTATGAAATTTTGAAATCAGTTGTGATTTTGGACTAGGTAGATCATAAGTGCCACAATTGTATCAACACTAGATCAGTGTCTCCAGGAAAGGTCAGGCCGCGTTCTGTATAGTAGGATAAAAACACTCCTACACCCACTAACCCACATTTTGTAAAGAATCTGAGGTTAAAACCCTTACATTTCATTTCTCACGTAAGGAAGTAACTTGTGGGGTGAAGTTTACAAAAATAAGGGAGAACAGATTCTCGAGCTCATTAGAAGAAATGATGGTGAGGAAATTAAGTGAGCAGCAGATACGGTCTGAAGGTGGACCCAAGACTTTGGACTTAAGTTTTGAAAGTCAGTACAGCAGTTGGACTTAAGTAACTCAAAAGAGATTTGAAATAGTATTTTCTCCCTTGCAGAAAATAGAAACACTTAATGGGAATTAGTGTTGAATTTGATCCTCTTGAGAGAATTCCTCTGAATCGGCCCATACAGTTTTTAGCCTGTTTCTCCAGCCTGTCCTGGGGAAAGTCTGCCACCACCAAGCCTGTCAAGCCTCAGAATTTTTAAATATGCAGTCTGAAATAAACCAGAATGCAAACATTATTCTTGATGCACTGGGGTAGTACTCGCTCTACCACAGGCTCGCTGTCACTTGGGTTATTTGGAGATAAAAAATAATGGCTATGTTTAATTTGGAGTAGGCGGAAAATAAAGTTAGGAATGTTAGAGCAGACTAGCCCTTCATTGATCCCACTGATTAAAGCACTAGTCATAGGTAGCCTCTGGGGCAAGGCCTCTGAATTTGAGCTTCCCTTTACAGGACTAAAGTGACTTAGCAGCAGTAGCAGTTGAAGAGTTTGCTCTAATTGCCACAATGTCTCAAGTGATTGGGGTGCAGGAGGAATTGTTTATTTTTCCACAAGCAGACCCAACCAGGAGCCTGGGAGAAGGGGCAGCTGTATTCTTTTCATCCACTCATTCCTCTCCCAGTCGTGGGTCCTTGGCTTGCTGTGGACCTCTGGACCCAAAGTTTTCCTATTCAGGGCCATCTCTGACCTGCTGAGTGCTTAAGACCAAAGCCCCTCTTAACTTGGGAATAAGTACTTTGCTGAGCTTCCAGATACTGTTTTCTTTCAGTTCAAAGAAAAACCAGCTTAGGTTACACTGGGCAAGTGAGTCCTGAGCTGCTGAGGGCTAACTCATTTCCTGTGTGCGGATGTCCACAGGCTCTGTCGGGGACGTGGTCCTTCAAATCAGCTTGCCTCCCCTTCCAGCCTTTATGTGGGCCCTGAGTCCTGCTCCATCTTACCAGTGCAACAAGGAGCAAAGAGTGACCTCAGTGGTCCCCAACTGAAACCCTTTTTGTGAACAACTGGAGCTCACCGACGCTAGTATTTTGGGCACTGTCTGCATGCCATAGCTTGCCGAGGGCAGAGCTAAGAGAACACTTCCGATTCCTGACCAGTGGTCCCGGACACTGCTGATGCCAGTGTTCATTTTTTCCCAGGGTCCTTTTTATAGTCATTAAGTCCTCACACTGATTTTACACTGTATAAAGCACTGCCACACGACCTCATTTGAGCCTTAACAGCAAAGCTGTGAAGCAAGCAGGGTGGTTATTACCGCCGTTTTATAGCTGAGGAAGCAGACTCAGAGGCAGCATTAGAGTAATCCTGAGATTGCTGTTCACTTCCCTCCCCTGAGCCTGTTTCCTTATCTTTAAAAGTAAGACCGGAAGACCAGATAGTCTCAAAGGGTCTTGTCAGCTGGAGTGTATGACTCCATGATCCTGGGATAGGACCAGTGGTGAGTACCCCAAGACCATAATGGATGGGAAGGTAGGAAACGACGTTTGAGAATGCCTTTAGCCTCAGGAAGACTGCCTCTCCTTCAAGAAGGTTTCCTTCAGGAGACCGACGCATGGGTGGTGGTAGCAAGTGGGAATCACGGGTGCGTCGTCTAGACCCTGAGGAAACTCCGTGGCCTAATAACGGAGAGTCGTCCCACCGTACCCAACATGGCAGCCCTCATCCGAGGAAACCCTGACGCCCACTTCCGGGTTCCGTAGCGCTGGCCAGGCTACTTCCGGCAGCGCGATGGCTGGGTTCCCGGGACTCGAACGGAAGTTCCGGCGGGGGCGGCCGAGGGGGGTAAGAGTGTGTGTGTCTGTGCTGGAGAAAGAGGAGAAAATCGCCCGAGAGGTCTTGAAACCCCCCAGGGAGTGGAGGTACCCTGATCATGGGCCAGCAGGCGGGGGAAGGGCACTGGAGTGGCCTCGGCTTCACCACGAGGGTCTTGGCGAGAGAGGAGGGGCAACCGCAATTGTGACGGATGGGGGTGGGGAGTGAGGTGCGAAGAGGCGCCGGCCGGTCTTGGGGAGTTTCGGAGTAGAGACGGGGAAGAAGGAGGGGTCCGGGTATGATGAGAGGGGCTTCAGGGTCGGAAGTTGGAGAATCCCACTGTGGGGCCGGAGTGGGGGGGGCGGGGCGCTCTCCAGGGTTAAAAGTGGAACGCCCCTGTGTGGGCAGAAGCGGGTCCGGGATCGGGATACAAAATGTCACTGTGAGGCTGGCGACCCTCGGTCAGAACAGAAGTTCCCATTGTGGGGAGTGGGAGACCCTGAATCAGGGTGGAAGTTTTTACTGTGAGGAGGAAGACCCCAGGTCGCGGGGGTTGGGGGGAGGGAAGGCACCACTCTGAGAGGAAGGACCTAGGGTGAGAGGTGGAAGTTGCTCAGTGGGGGAAGGAAGGGAATCCCAGCTTGGGGCAAAAGATGAATTCCTGTGTGGGAAGAGGGACCCCGGGGTCAGAGGTGAGGAGGGATCCTCCTGTGAAGAGGGGCACTCGGGGTCCGAGGGGGAAGGTGGAAGCCCTTTGGTAGGGTGGGAGGGGTGGGCACAGCCAGGAAGGGTAGGCACTTACGCTCCGGTAGCAGAAGCTTCCGGGGAGTTTGGAGGATGCTAAGGATGGGGAGGAGCCCGCCAGCTTGACATTCTTTTGTGTGTTTGGGAATCCCGGAGCGTGGTCGAGCTGTGGGGAGACCTGTTTGGGAGTGGTGGGCAGCAGCAGGTAGCCTCTTTCGGGGCGGGGGTGGGTGGTGGATCAGAGTTTGTGTGCCTCCTGCGGACACGGGCAGCCCGAGGGGCTCTCAGAATGGTTGAGGAGGACTGGATGGGAGGGGAGTTGGACAAAATTGCGTGGGGTTGAGGATAGGGGCCTGAAGCCTCTTTCCCTGGCATTTTTCTCCCCTTCATTTCCCAGTAGGGCTGGGAGGAGGGGATCAAGGGCTCTAGAGAAGGGAGGTGACTGTAGAATAGGGAGAGGAGGCAGTCACCTGCTAAGGACTGTCAGTGGGGAGAAGGCTGCAGGGAGCCCCTGGCTCCCCTCCCACCAAGGCTCCTGAGCCCAGCCTCTGCCCACCTCCAGCCCAAGCTCAGGCTGTGTGGGGGGCCAGACCTAGGGCTGCCAGGGTGGCTGCCTCTGCTGTTCTACCCTGGAACGAAGGCACACTTCCTCCCCACTCAGCCCCAGGACTGTGTGGCCTGCCTTCCCTTTGTGCCCAGGAGATAGAACTAGGGGGACTGAGGGGCTCATGGCCCGGGTGTGTGTCTCTGCTGCTGGGTCAGGATGCTCTCTCCTGCCTGGCCTTGCCCTTGACCACTGCCCGCTATTTGCGCAGGCCCCAGCCGTGGAGCCTGCAGTGTATGTGCGGTAACACCATGTCTGTGCCCCTGCTCACCGACGCTGCCACTGTGTCTGGAGCTGAGCGGGAAACAGCTGCGGTAAGGGTCCTCTCCTACCCCACGCAGCCCCCAGGCCGCCTGGGGAGCTGACTGGAGTGGGTGTGGGGAGGATGGAGGTGGCGGTGATGAGGGGGAGCGGCCCTGCAGCCAGGAGGCAGGGGGATGCTCCCTCAGGACCCCCCGCCCCCAGGTCCTCGGGGGTGAGGGAGGGGTGACCAGAAGCTGGAGGACAGAGAGCGATGGCAGGATGATGACTGCCCTCTTCCCCGTCTCCGGCCCTCTTCCAGGTTATCTTTTTACATGGACTTGGAGACACAGGGTGAGTGAGCTGGGGAGGGGGTGTTTCCGGGGAGGCCCGCACCCTCCTCCTTCCCTCTCCACATCGGCGCCTTTTCTCCCTTCCTTCCTACAGGCACAGCTGGGCTGACGCCCTCTCCTCCATCCGGCTCCCTCACGTCAAGTACATCTGTCCCCATGCGTGAGTGTCACCCCAGCAAGGCAGGGACTAAGGAAGGGGGTTGTCCTGTGGTCCCAGGCCTCTTCTCTGCTGCCAGCTGCATGCTGGGGCTTGAGGCCCAGAGCCGTCCGAAGGGCCCTTTTCAGCCTTCATTCCTGTGGAACCCCCTGGGAACGGGGGGTTCAGCCCAAGGCCTCCTAGACCCAGGACTCCTGGGACCAGGATCTCCCATTTCCCCCCTTCCCCAAGTACTCACCCACTGAGCTGGAACCCCGTCACACCGAGTGCTGGGCTCTGCTTCTCCATCGCCACTGCCGATGCCCCAACCACAGCCTCCAGCCCCACGTGGCAGGTTGCCTGGCAACACCTTAAACACAGGCCCTGCCCGCTGGGAGGTTCCCCAGGGGCTGCCCTGCCCCCTCTCAGGCTGTCTGCTGTGGCTGCCTCATCCCTCCTGCACATGACGGTCCTCCTTGCTGTCTCTTCGCAGGCCTCGGATCCCTGTGACACTCAACATGAAGATGGTGATGCCCTCCTGGTGAGCTTGGGGAGGGGAACAGGAGCCGCGGGAGCTGCCCCGGGGCCAGCCCAGGCCTCCCAGTGGCTGCCAACGCCTCTACTTCTCCAGGTTTGACCTGATGGGGCTGAGTCCAGATGCGCCAGAGGACGAGGCTGGCATCAAGAAAGCAGCAGAGAACAGTAAGGCCCCAGCCCCTCCTCGGCATCCTCCCTGTCCCCCTCGGCCCCCCAGGAAAGTGCTGGGCAGAATCTCTTGTCTGGCTCCCTTCCTGGAGTCCCTCTAGCAGCTTTCCTCCCACCCGGTTATGCCCCCTCCCCCCAGTCAAGGCCTTGATTGAGCATGAGATGAAGAACGGGATCCCTGCCAATCGGATCGTCCTGGGAGGCTTTTCACAGGTGAGGGGAGAGAGAGGGGTGGGTGGGTAATGGGTGCTGAGCTGTGCCCTCGTGACCCCTCATTCTCTCCTTTCGCCAGGGTGGAGCTCTGTCCCTCTACACAGCGCTCACCTGCCCCCACCCTCTGGCTGGCATTGTGGCGTTGAGCTGTTGGCTGCCTCTGCATCGGGCCTTCCCCCAGGTGAGCGTCTCCACGACCCTGCTCCTGCCCTCTGTCTCCTCGGGCCTGGGGGGATCATGCCCAAGCCCCGGGCTTTGCCCTCTTAAGTCCTGTTCGGCCCACAGGCAGCCAACGGCAGTGCCAAGGACCTGACTATCCTTCAGTGCCATGGGGAGCTGGACCCCATGGTTCCCGTACGGTTTGGGGCTCTGACAGCCGAGAAGCTGCGGTCTGTTGTCACACCTGCCAGGGTCCAGTTCAAGACCTACCCAGGTGTCATGCACAGCTCCTGTCCCCAGGTCAGTGTGGAGGGGCTCCTTCCTTTCCCCCCACCTCCCTCCGGCCAGGCGCATCTCATAGTCCTCCTCACCCCCAGGAGATGGCAGCTGTGAAGGAGTTTCTTGAGAAGCTGCTGCCTCCTGTCTAACCAGAGTTGCTGTCCCCCAGCACAGTGCCCCCGCTTACGGGGGGTACTTGGCACGCGTGGCACCATCTTGGATCTGAGCCGGTCGAGCCCCTTTCTCACCTTCCTGGACCCATCCCCTCTTCCCACATGCCTCTGGGGCAGACAGGCCAAAGCCTGGCCAGGCCATCCTTCCTGGCTTCAGCCCCATGACTGTCTGCTGCAGGGGGTGGGCTGCTTTCTTATCCCATTTCCCTGGAGGTGGGGGCCACCCCCCTGGCAGCAGTATTAGAGGGGCTGTAGGCAGCGGGAGAAAGGGGCCCAGCCGCTGACCCACTCACTCAGGACCTCACTCACTAGCCCCGCTTTGGGCCCCCTCCGGTGACCTCAGGGTTTGGCCCATGGGGCCCTCCCAGGCCCCACCTCCTCCCACCTCCCCCAACTGATTCTGCCCAGATAATCGTGTGTCTCCTGCCTCCACTCCAGCTGCTTCTCAATCATGAATGTGTCCATGGCCCGACCCCTGGCCGCTGTGGGCTCCCAGCCCCTGCGCAGGAGTGTGGGTGACGGGGCCAAGTCTTTCGAGGGGGCCTCCCCTCAGCCGTTCTGATGTGGGGGCTGGGCCCTGCCTCCCCATTACCCTCCACCTCCCGCGGGCCTGGAGCCTGCCGGGCTGGACTGGGGCTCAAGGTCTCCCCCAGCCGCTTCACCCCACGTTGTCCCCACGCTAGGTCTTGGGGGAGCTGGGGAGGAGTCTTGTGTCTCGTCTTCTGTCTCCATGTAGTTTCGGGTGTTTTTCTTGTCGTGTCCTGGATTCCGATAAAATTAAAGAAATTGCTTCAACTCTCAGGCCTGGGTGATTCTATCCAAGGGGTAGAGTGTGACCATGTGCAAGTATCTGTTCCAGTGTAGGAAAACTGTTTATTTTAAATACTCTGGGATGCTCCTTCATAGCCGTGTAAGTTAGTGCTGGGAGGAGGGGCTTGTGTGTGTCTTCAGGCCCTGCTGACGCCACTCAGCCTCGGTGGTCCGCGTGGGTTCCTGGCCCCTGGGGCACACAGACCTGGCACCCGGTCACCGGAGACCCTGGCCTCGGGCCCGGTGGGCTCAGTGGGCCCAGCTGGGGTCCGAGGTCACAGGGCCTCTGGGGCCCCTGGGTTCCTGCCAGAGGCTGGAGAGCAGGCAGTTGTTTCTCTCCCTTTTTTGGTCCATGGGAGGCCAGGGTCTCAGGCCTGCGAGCCAAAGCCTGAAGGATTCTGCTTCTGCCAGCGCCATAGATCTTCACCTGGAACAGGACGAGGTCCATGCTCAGGGGCCACACTGAATGCAGGGCCTGCAGCGTCTTGGGCAGCCCGGACCCCAGTAGCCCTTTCCTGGCCCCCCAGTCTCTCCCAGCGGTCAGGCAAGCACCCAGGATCGGGGGTTCAGGCGAGCACTCACACATCCTGTCCAGCCCTAGGGCTGCTGACCAGCCCAGCTCCTTGAGGGCCAGGCTGGGGTTGGCGTAACAGGCAGCCACGTCGCCTTCACGCCGGGCCACCACCTTGTATGGGATCTGCAGGAGAGGGGGTGGTTGTACTCTAGCTGAACCAGCCCTGGCATCACCCACCAAGTTGCTGACCAGCCCTCCAGAAATGGAGGTGTGGAGCAGGGTCTCACTCTCAGGCATCGAGGCCTCAGGCAGGCTTGAGTAGACAGCGGAACTCGGGTGCCCATCAGGTATGTCAGTGCAAGGGGCTGGGTGGGGCAGGGTGGCTGCCAGCCTACCTTCTTCCCGGAGGCCTTCTCCATGGCCTGGACCATCTGTAGTACCGAATAGCCTGTGCCCGTGCCCAGGTTGTAGATCTGCCCAGGAAAGGAGGGCAGAGATTGCGGTGGGGGTGGACCGACTTCCCCTCTGGGCCCCATTAATCCCGGCCTCTGTCTCTGTCTCCCCCACTTCTCCCTTCTCCCCCTACCCGGCAGCCACACTGCTCCTTCAGCTTCCTCAAGGCCGCGATGTGGCCCTTGGCCAGATCCACGACGTGGATGTAATCCCGGACGCCTGCAGAGGAGGACGCGGTTGCGGGGAGGGGCCCGTCAGGGTCTCTGTCCCGCCTCAGCCTCCCTCGTGGCTCCTGGGCTCACCTGTGCCATCCTCCGTGTCGTAGTCGTTGCCAAAGACATTCAGTTCCTCCCGCCGCCCAATCGCCACCTGGGGTGGAGGTCAGCTTAGCTCTTCCCAGACCCTCACCCGTGGAGCCGACCCCCTTTCCCTTCTCCCTTACCTGGGAGACATAGGGCATGAGGTTATTGGGGATGCCCTGCGGGTCCTCGCCGATTCTGCCTGAGGCATGGGCGCCTATGGGGTTGAAATACCGCAGCAGCACTGCGTTCCAGGCCTGTGGGATGCAGATCAGACAGAGGGGATTGAGATGCAAGCTGTTGTCCCACCTAAATCCAGAGCCGCTGCCCCCTGTCCCCCCTTGCTGATTCTCTGTCCTGAAAGGCCTGAAGTCACTGCCGCTTCCTGAGCCCCAGCTTTGACCTCGGGAAGGGTGGCTCAGGACCCCATCCTAGGCTCGGGGCAGGCTGTGAGGGGCCCGAGAGCGGGGCCCAGGCTGAGGCAGAAGGGGCCCTTACCTTGTCTGCCTGGCACAGGTCCCGGATCATTTCCTCAATGAAGAACTTGGACTTGCCATAGGGGTTGGTACAGCCACCTGTGGGGTGGGCCTCATCCAGAGGCAGGTACTGGGGGTTCCCGTACACAGTGGCCGAGCTGCTGAATACCAGGTTCTTCACCCCGTGGGCCCTCATGATCTGCCCGCGGAGGAGAGGCGTCAGTGGCCCCTGCCTCCCCCAAGGCGGGTGAGGCCGAGGCATGAACTCTCGTTTACAGAAGGGGAGACTGTGGCTGAGAGCTGAAGACGTGTCCAATGTGTGAGCCAGCTTGGGTTCTCCCACCGTGTTTGGTACTGCCTGCCTGGCCCGGGGCCCTCCCGGGGTCTGTCCCCAGCCCAGGTCTCACCTCCAGAAGCTGGATGGTTCCCGTCAGGTTGACTCTGTAATAATCCAGGGGCTTCTGCACTGACTCACCCACAGCCTTGAGCCCCGCAAAGTGGATGACCGCCATGAAGCTGTGCTGCGGGGTGGCAAAACTGGGATCAGATGTGGCTTACAGGCCCGGCCCTTGGCAGTGCCCACTGCTTGCCTTCCTGCCAAGCGCCCACCTTCTTAAAGAGACGTTGTAGAGCTGCCTGGTCCAAGATGTCCATCTCCTCAAACTCCACAGAGCAGCCTGTCAGCTCCTGAACCCGCCGCAGGCTCTCAGGCATGGAGCCCCGTCCTGGTTGGGCACACAGAGGCCATCAAAATCAGAGGCGATGGGGAGCTGGGTTCCCAAGGGACTGGCCATGCATACACCCCTTGGAGGTGGACGTAGAACCCAGGGTTTCCCTTCCGTCCCCCCGGGAGCCCCAGCCCCCTCCCCGTGCCCCACTCACCACGAATGGCGTTATGGAAGTTGTCAATGACCATGGGCGAATAGCCCGCCTCCAGCAGCTCCAGGACAGTGTGGCTGCCAATGTAGCCAGCCCCACCTGTTACCAGCACTTTCTCTGCCATTATGCCCGGCTCAGGACAAAGACTCAGAAGTGGCCGAGGTGGTCTGCTCAGAGCCTCCTTCAACCTGGAGTCTGGTGTCCAAAGGGGTGGTGTGTCCTAGTTAATAGGGTGGGTCTGGAGTCAGCCCTGGTCCAAGGTCAAAGAGCATCACTCTCTGGCCTTAGGCCTTGGAGACCAGTTCTCTCTTGGCCCTAGTTTCCGTCTCTATAACATGGAGTTTATAACTGTACCAGTATGTGGTCACGTAAGGGTCAGATGAGGTGATTCTAAAGGTCCGTCACACCGTATCGGTGGAGACGCATACACAGGCGCCATAACTTCTAGCCCTAATTGACTGGGGGTTGGGAAGATGGAACCGGAGTCTCCACACTGCTTCCCTGAGGCGCCTGGGGACTGGACAATTCTGGACAGAAGGAAACAAGGCAAGCAGCACTGGACTCCCAAGAGCCCAGGAGGAGGTCAGTCTGCTCAGACCCAGACCTCCCCAGTCCTCCGCCATCACTGGGTACAAACTGGCTCCTGGTTCGGTGACTAACACCTCCTGGAGTAAGCACCTTCTCTCACAAAGGTCAACTGGGAGAGGCAGGAAATACAGCAGATGGCCTCAGGGTGGGTCCTCTGCCCCGCGGGCTGAGCCCAGCTCTGGGGTTGCAGCACTGTTAGTCCTGGAGTGGGCCCCACCCCCAGGTCGTTAGGCTGGTTCAGCCAGTGCGGATGCCACTCCTGGCCTGGCGCTAAGAATCCCGCCTAATTCTAGGCGGTACTCAACAGGGTGGTGTAGACGTGGCTTTGGCTCCAGATTTCACTGCCAGGTGTGCACCGCCGCCCTTAACAAACTCCGCGGGCAGAGACGGTGGGGGGATCGGCGGGGGAGGAAGTCCAGACACTGAGGCCTTTCACTGGGGCAGCCTGGCCCGCAGCCGCCTTCCTCCAAGCAGCCTTAATTCTGTTCTGGGTTCCTACAGCTCCTAACCCACTAGATTGAACGCCCGCTGCGCGCCAGGCTCTGTACTGGGCACTTCTGCATTATCTCCCTGAATTCCTCCAACGTCCTAATGAGGCAGGTGTTATTACTGCCAGTTTAGAGAGAAGGATACTAAGGTCAGAGAGGTTAAGTAATTTGCGTAAGTCACACAGTCAGTGACGGCGGGTTTAGAATCTGGATCTAGTCCCGCCCCTCCCCAAACAGTTCGGCCCCTGTCCCCACTGGTTCCCGCCGGACTTTGCCCTAGACGTTGAAGCCGCCCCCGCCCCATCGAGCACCAAACAGTGTGCAGGCCCCCCAAAAATGGTGGCGGGGGGTCCCAGGGAGGCAGGAAGGCCGGTGAGGTTGCCCTCCCTCCGACACGCGGGGTGATCTTCGGTCAGCTGTTGCCTCAGTCTTCCTCGTCCGTAAAATGGAGGGGAGGGGGCGCAGGGCCGTGAGCTCGAGTGCCCTAAAGTCTCAGGCAGGGGATTCGGGCGGTGGCTGGATGGGGGCAGAACTAGGAGTCCCCCCGGCCGGGAATGAATGAATCCTGGCCGCCCCATCCAAGGCAGCGGGAGCTGGGAGCCGCGGGGGAGAGCCCGCCTAGGCGGAACTCTGCCCAAAACGCAGCCCGGACCCCAGAGACTCCCCCGCGCTCCCAGCGGACCACCCGCCCCCTCGCAAACCCGCTCGGCCCCACCCCCCACCAGCCTCCCAAACCTGCTCCGCACCACGCGCCCCGCGCAGTCTCGAACGGCGCCGCCTCCCGTGCTCCGTGACCGGTCCCTTTAAGAGCCGACGCTCCGCCCTGGACCCGCCCCCCATCACGCCCCCAAGAAACGTGTCGGTCGGGAGCCGGCAGTACGGGGAGCCGGGTGGGCCAAGAGCGCCGCGGCTCCAGGGCACTTGCGCGGCACAGTCCGCAGAGGGCGGTACGGACCGGTGCCGGGGCGGTGGGCGGAGGAACGCGCGGTCGGCACCTGGGGCCCGGGAGACCTGGCGTACCCGCCGGTCCCGAACCCTGGAAGCAGGCGCTGCGCCCCGGGAGATGCGGCTGGTCGGGAGCGCCCGGCAGCCATCCTGCAGCGGGAGCCACAGCCGAGCGCGCGCGGAAGACCGCGGCTCCACGCTCGCCCCAGGTTTCCCACCTTTTGTCAGTAAGCCTGGTTTGAAGTAGATGGCTGCGTGGAACGGAGAGGCAGGAGGGGCGGCGCCGACGGAAGGGAGTGGGTCGGGGTTTCTCACAGGCTGCCGTTCTGGAAAATCTAGTTTTAAAAACCCGCCAAAGGGCTGGAGGGAGCCGAGAGACTAGAACACGAATTACAGCGCCAGCTGCGCCCAGCCTTCACGCACACCGTGGCCCCCAACCTCGCGGAACGGTTTGCACCTTGCCTACCATAGTAGACTTGGAAAATAATGTTCTGTTTCTCTTTAAAATAAAGGGAGGGCTAAGGAATGGTGTGTATAAAGCTGTGACATACTGAATGAGGAGCTTCCCTGGTGGCTGAGATGGTAAAGGAGACCCCAGTTCCATCCCTGGGTCGGTCGGGAAGATTCCCCTGGAGAAGGAAATGGCAACCCACTCAAGTATTCTTTCATGGACAGAGGAACCTGGTGGCCGGCAGTCCGTGGGGCTGCAGAGTGGGATACGACTGAGCAGTAACACAGACACATACTGAATGAGGAAACCCGCGCAGAGGAAGAAACGCACACGGGGGCCCCCAGCCTGCAGAGCCCTGGGCCTGCTGGAGCCAGCAGGGATGCTGACTGGTCCCCCGGTCCCCAGGGCGCCCAGAGCTGCGCCTGCCTTGGCCCAGAGGACCTTGTGCCACGAACAGCCCTGGTCACAGAGCCAACAGCCTCAGAAACAACTCTCCAGGGATCCCTGGTCAGTGCTGAGTGAGTCATTACCACTGATTTCCCCAATTCTCAGGAGGGCAAGGAGGGAGAAAATCCAGAGGCCTGCGTTTTCCTCTCAGAGGAAATGCAAAGATGGCCCCCCCACCCCACCCCCGCCTCTCATGTATACACACATTTGCACAAGAGAACACTGGAATGGTTCTCATTAAACCTTTAATTACGTAATCTGTTTTCAACAATCATGTTCAATGTGGAGATTTTGCAGAGGTGCTGGAGTTGGCAGGTGGCCACCACAGCTACTCAGCCCTCACCCCTTCACCAAATGCCCTCTGCCCGCTGAGGGAAAAATTCCTCCAGGCCCCTCTGCCCTACAAAGTCACAGAACGATGGCCCTCAAGAATATGGCAACAAGTTGTGGAGAGTGGCCAGCTGGCAGGTTCCACCCAGAGATGAGACTTGAGGATCAACCCAGGCCAGAGAATTGGGTTCCCAAGAGCCCTTTCAACTCCTGGGCCTTTGGGTCCAGGTGGAAGGAGAACTCCAGCTGCCCAAACCTCTCACTCGTACTCAGGTCAGGCAGGGAGGGCCTGAAGCCAGGCAGCTCCTGTCCACCTCCTTCCTTCCAGGAGAGACCCATGTACAGAGCTGACAGTGAAGTACCTGCTCCGGTTGATTGCATTCCCATTTCCACATGACCATCCATGATTCATCCACAGGAGTCCCTATTCCCACACCATCCCCAGGGCTTCAGGGAGCAAGTGGCTCACAGTTTACAGGTAGCCTGAGCCACTTTGGAGTTGGTTCTTCTGTTCAGGGCTTGACAGATGAAGGCTCCAGCTTCCAGGAGCTTCTGGAGGTTCACACCCTTTGAGAAACAGGTCAGAGGATGCAGTTAAGTCACAACGTGCCCTCAACACCCAGGGAAACATCCGACTGGACAGAATGATGCTGAGAAAGCGAAGGTGACGACAGCCATGCTCTTGTTCCTCTGACGGCGGGACACTGGCTGGCTGTGAGGTGCTGTCCTCCTGGCATGTGGGGTTCCCCTCTGACTGCCCTCAGTGAGGGCATGGTTTGGGGTGCCGCCACCCCGGAAGGGAGCCAGTAGTCCTGTTCGGTACTCCAGGGTCTAGCACAGGCCAGGCCCACAGGGGTCAAACACTGCGTGTGAAGTCAGGGTCACGAGGCACAGAAGTAGGGGTAGAAACACCAACTAAAAAGGCCACACCGAAAACCTCTTTATATTAATAACAACAGCTCCTATTTACTGCTGTGTACTATTTGCTTAGCTTTGGGCTACATTTTCTTACTTATCCTATGAGGTAAGTGCTGTTATTTATTCCTATTTCTTAGGCCCAAAGTGCTGAAGTAGTCTGTCAGGTCACACAGCCTGTGAATGGCAGGACTAGGTTTTAAATCCAGTCCTGTCTGATCTCAAAGCACAGATGCTGTAGTGCTTCCCGCCCACGCTGCGGGCCCTCACTGACTGGCAGAGCCCTGTGTGGGGGTAGGGGGGTGGGGAGAGAGCACGCAATTCTATTACCCTCATTTTTTCCAGAGGAGGAAACAAAGGTCCAGAGAGAACTGACTCATTTCAGGTCGTGGCCTTGCCCCTTCCAGGGCTCCTTCCTTGCACCCTGGTGCCGCCTCGGATGGAACTCTCAAACCCACGCCAAGGGCCTGGCCTCATAGCCCCCATCGACCACACTCTGTTATCTCAGATCACAGGACGGAAAGGCCCGAGTTCCTTGGAACCCTTCCCCTCTTAACTGCACCACCACCTTAAAATCCCGGAACAAACCCAGCAGCTCTGTCCTCTGGCTTCAGGCAGCGCTCCGGTCAGTTTGGGGCTGTGACCACCAGGGGGCAGGCGGGCTTACCGTCTGAATGCCCAGGCCGGTCAGCATGTAGACCAGGTCCTCGGTGGCCAAGTTTCCCGACGCCCCCTGCGCATAGGGACAGCCTCCCAGTCCTGCCACGGAAGAGTCCACGACACTCACTCCCATCTGGAAACAAGGACGGTGGAACACGGCTGTCACTGGGGGGGGTCTGAGCCTACCAAGCCGGTCCTGGGAAACCTCCCTCTCAGTGGCTGCCTGAAATTCCACACAAATTATTCATTCCTTCAGTTTATGGAAATCCCACTGAAAGAAACTGTTCCTCTTTCTGGTTCCTAAAACAGTGTGTCTTTTATGCTACACTGCTTACTCTGCCAGGAATCTTTTCTCCTTCCTTAGTGGTTGACTCAACTTCTTCTCAGCCTAAAAGCCGCCTCCTCAGAGACGCCCTTCCTGATCGCTCGCCTAAAGTAACCCCTCCCAGCTGTTGAGGTTTCAGACTCATTTTACTGTGCTCATGTACCGCCCACTCTCCTGCACCCCACGTCAGGCCTCTGACGCCAGGGTCGCTTCTCTGGGTTGATCCCACTTTCCTAGATGACTGATCCATTTTCTCTCTCCTTAAGCCTCAACACTGAGAAAATAAGACCCAGAAAGTCATAGAAGCATCTGGCTTAAAGACACAAGCCTCGAGGAGAGAACATGAGATAAAAATGGGTAAAAAAAAAAAAGGCGGCCCAGGGTTGCTCTACTAACCTAAACACTATACTAGACTTCCTGCAGCAAGGCAGCCTGTGGTCAGACACCCAGAACTTTCTTTCTAAGGGACTCTTGGGCCATGGGACCCTTGTTCTGGGCCAACCCACAAGAAGCTAACCTCAAGAGAAACGCAATCTGAGGTCATGGTCCAGTCTCTGGGCAAAGAGCATCAAAGTGCTCTCCCGAGTGATCTCTGCCTGCTGCCCACCCCCTCGCCCCCCGCCACTGGTGCATGCGTGCGCACTCACAGCCGTGTATGCCGTGGTGGGGCCAGGGCACCCCAGTCCTCCCGACCCCACCTTAGTCTTGTTTACAAGGCTGCCTGGTCACCTTTCCGCTTCCCTTTTTCAACTGCTCAGCTTCATGTCCTTCAAGCTGCACTGAGGCCTTCTCTGGGGAATCCTCTCTGCCCACCCCCACCCCCAGCTGGGATGGGGACCGCCCTCAGTCCCCATGGTATTGTCACAGTGCGTTAGGATTACCATCTAACTCTCCACTGTCTCTCCTGACAGATGCAGGCACTTTCAGGGCAGGGAGGCATGTCCGTGTCCCCCGTGGCCAGCCTGGGGCCTGGCACACAGGTGTGGGCATGCAGTGAAGGCTTGCTGAAAGAATAAATGAAACACAGCTGTCCTACCACCCTGCCCTTTGGGAAAACGGATGTGTGCCTTTATCCGAGGACATGCCCTGATTACCTGCAGGGCCGTCAAGGTGTTGGCCAGGGCCTGGCCGTAGGTGTCATGGCAGTGGACGGCCAGGGCTGTCACGGGCACCTCATGCAGGACAGCAGACAGCATGTCCTTCATGGCC